TTTACTTTAGCTAATTCCCAAGGGATCCTGAGAGTTCAGCGTGGAAACTAAGTATAGAGCATGTAATATCCAGTCAGAAGGGAGAAAAATGTAGAACTACTGGGGGGAAGGGTGAGAAAAGAAGGATTTTTAGTTTTAAAATAAGTATAAAAATATTTTCTCCACTTTGAACTAATCATTAGCTGAAGGAAATCTACAGTCACAAATAAATGGTCACAGATAGGTCTGTTACAGGATGCCTGGTTTTAGTGCTTAACATCATGTTAAAGAAACTTGACTGCTGAGTTATGTACTTTACATATAAAAGTTATATATATAATCATATATATAAAGAGTATATATATATATATCTTTATACACACATACTTTAACTACAGGCCCACGCATATCTGTATACTCTGAAGCTGACTGCATACCTTTCTGGTAATACAACCTTCTCATCAAACACCCCTGCTCTGAACCATTAAACTTCCTGGGGTAAAAAATGCGTGGCCTGTATCTAAACCCCACCTTTTTTGGCATTATAATTTGCTAAAATTTGCATGCTTGCTTTCAACCGAAGCCTTTAGCAAAATTCCTACGTTACAAGTAGTTTTACCTGTTTGGTTTGAGGAGAACCGTTTCAGATTTCCCAAGTGCAGAAACCTAATGCAGGAGGAGGAAAAGTGGAGTTAGGTATGTCCTGTAAAAGGAGTTTTCCTTGGGACACTGTCCTGCTTCTTGAGACCCATTCCCAGCAATGAGAGCAGCCTTCCACAGCCCGGGAACGCTGCTGACCCGCCGGGTGGCTGCAAGAAACCATTTCTCTTGCCCTGTGGGGCGGGAGGGGGATATCGGGAGGATCACACCGTGCCCATCACAGCTCAAAGCCATCAGTAACCTGCGGTGTGCCCAGGGCTGGGTGGCCCCTGGGTGCCGGTTGAGAGTCTGTCACTTCGGGAAGGCGCCCGGCACCCAGTGCCGGGCCGTGCTGGTGCCATGGGGGACCCAGAACTGGACCCAGAACTGGAACCAGCCTCCGGCCCGGCTGGACCCGGGTCTGACCCACGCTGGTCATGCCCCTGCTGGACCCGATGCCGGGCCCACAGCGAGCCCCGTGCGGCACCCCCGTCCCGTCTCGTCCCGTCCCACCCAGCGCACCGCGTGTCACCGCACATCACACCCCATCGCCGCACCGCGTGTCACCGCTCCGCACATCTCATCACATCCCATCACCGCACCTCAGCCCCGCCGGCCCCGGGCAGCCCCGCGGCCCATGGCACCGGCCGCTCCTCCCGGTACGCGCTCGCCGATGGCCTCAATCCTCATGTCCGGGGGGAGCGCCCGGCCCGGCCCCGCGGGGGCAGCGCCCGTGTGTGAGAGCTGCTCTCCCCGCGGGTGTGAGGGAGGGGAAGGAGGGAGGGGAAGGAGGGAGGACCGGGCGGCACCGCCGCCCCCGCCCCGGGAACAGCCGCGGCCGGAGCTCCGCGGCCGCCGGGACCGCCCCGCCCGGGGGCGGCGGGAGCCGGGGAAGGAGGGAGGGAAGGAGGGAGCGAAGGAGGAGCCCGGCCCGGCTCCCGGGAAGCGGGCGGGGGTCGCGGGTCGGGCTCCGGCGGCGCTCAGGTGGGTCCGGGGCGGGGGGCACCTGCCCGCGGGGGATCAGCAGGGGATCAGCGGCGCGTCTTCCTTTTGCTGCCGGAAATCAAGCGCTGCCGCCCCGGGAGCGGCGATGGCAGGATGCGGAGGAAAAGGGCCTTTTCCTGCCGCCGCTCGGCAGGAAGCGGAGCTTCCCGGCACCCCATTGTTCCAGGGGCTCCCCCCGAGCCCCGGGAGCGGGGCCGGCCCGGTGGCACCGCCGCGCTCAGACACTGCCCCGCTCCAGGGACGGAGGTGGATGAACGCCCTGCCCCCGCTGAGATGCGGGGCAGGCACATGACAGCGCTCCTGCCGGGATTGGGAACCCGCAACCTCCTTCGGTTTGACCCAATTCCTGCAGCGCCGAGCGCCGGAGGGGCACAGGCGACAACACTCAAGGGCTATGAGTCCTCCACGCCGGCACAGAGCTCTTCTCCCCTCGTTCGCAGGTGGGGAATGAAGAACAAACGCCCAGCCTGCCACAGGAAACCTGCGGGAGAACACGGGACAGAGCGCGCCGGCAGACGGGCTGACACCGCTTACCTGAATAAAGGAATTTAGTCTGAATTTCACATTAGCCGTAATCCCATCACTGCAGTGCATTTATAAATAAACCACCCTCTTCTACCTCAATACCCGCAGCACCACAAGAATTGAACTGGCATCTGTAATTCCAGCTAGATCTGGTATCTCTTGACTTGAGTGGTATTTTCGTTTCACACCACCAGGTTCACACCCATCCACCCACCACGGAACTGTTTTAACTCTTTTCTCAGAGAACCAGAGCACACTCTTAGCACAAAATTTTATTTTACCCTGACCCGTGCTTTTTACACACTTATACACATTTTACAACTAGAAACCAAGGGGTTTAATTTTACCGTGCAATAACCATTTTGCCTCATACTCAGGATCATTATAGCCCTTAGTAAAACATAAGCATGTAAATTAAAACAAACTTTTAGGGAAAGAAAAATAAGTAGAACTAACCCTTCTCTCATGGGACTTTGAACATGTGTTCTTAAAGGAAGCAAGTACAGAGGAGTCTATTCCTCATCCACACCCACCCACATCCACACAGGCTTTTCCATCACCTAGGCTGGGAATTCAGCCCCCTCTGAACACTGTACTTTGAGTAAACCTTTAAATAGCATTTCTTCATACTTGCATATGCACTGAAAAATGAGATCTAAATTAGTTGCATTCAGAAGGAATGTCCTAAAATAATAAATTTGAACAGACATGGATATTAGAATTCTGACCTAAGACCTTTAATTTTGCATGTTACTCTTCTAGGCAAACTCAATAAGAGCAATGAACAAAACGTGTCCACGCAGACATTAATGTTTCTTCAAAACAAGCATACAAGAATTATGCCAACCATGACCAAACCAGAATACTTTAAAGTCTATGTTACCTTCCAACAGCCACCTTGTTTTCTAAGGCTTTGATGATTAAGACACAGAAGGCCATCTGATTCTCAGGTGATAGTAAAGGTTGCACTAAATGGGAATAAAGAATCCAAAAATAGTCAATAAAAATATTTACATCTACTTTTGTAAAATTTAAAAATCTAATACCTGTCAAATGTTTTTACATTGAAAACAGTTAATGCTGACTGCATATTAAAATTTCCCATTTACAAAGCTCTTCCTGAAAACCCAAGATAGCCCAAGATATTCTCAGAACTGCCTGTGTCAGCCCTTCAGGAGCATCTACTCACAAATTACACAGGAAATGTTACCTTCAAAAGCACTGGCAGCAAAGATCCCAATAAAAGTTCAAAGGATGATTTTTTTTGGTTTTAGAGAACTGCATTTGTCTACCAAGATTGTAAAAAAGTGCTGAAAACAAGCAATTTATTGATTTCCTGTAGTAGATAAAAGCTGAACAGAATTTCTAATCTTTGACCATCATAAGAGTTGTTTTCTTAAAAGAAGGCTGAACTAACCTTTGCCCATCATAATTCTAATACACAATAAATCAGTAAAGCTCCAGAAAGTGCTTTTATAAGAAGTGGTTTTTTGTTTGGGGTTGGTTGGTTTGGGGCTTTTTTGAAACTCAGAGCAACCAACTGTGCTTCAATATGAAGGAAAAGTGTTAAATTCTGAAGTTTTCAGGAAAAAAATGAAATCACCATGGTTTCCAAATCTGAAATGAAAACAGTAAGAGGATAGTTCCCTCCCACCTCCCCATTAAAAAAAAAAAAAAAAAAAAAAAAGGAAAAGAAAAAAGTATTTAATATTAAAGTAGTTAAAGTTTCTATGACAGATGGGGAGTTATAACAAATTTTAGTGTTTTTGCTCTATGGCATTATTGAAATGTTCAGAGTAACTGCCTGAATCTCAAATTGGACTAGGATTTTACAGGAACATACCCTTGCCTGTGTACCTTCAGTGAATTAACTGTTCTCCCAGTGAGGAATAAATCCTTAACACCAATAGTAAAACCATGTTACCGAGAGACTTTTCTCCAGAAGCAATTTCTCATCCTTTACGTCCTTTGTCTCTCTCAGGCCACCGAATACCCAAGCAGGAAGAGAGTTCCCAAATTACAACGTGCACAGATCTGGGAAAAAAAACCCCTTTCCCAACAGAGGCACTGGTATGATAAGCAAAGAATTTCGACTGCCGAATATTTCACACGAGTAGGTTCCGAAATGCAGCAAAATATTTGGCCTCTGGAATGCAGAGAGGAAGGCGAAAACTCCTTCCCGCGATTCTCAGCATTCCCAAGGGTCCAATTCAAACGTTTCCTCTGACATTACCAAAAATGCAGCTCAACTCCAAGTCACATGGATACTGTTTGACCAATACCTTGCTTAAGGAATGGCATGAGAAATACTTTGAAGCCACTGGAGACTTGCTTGAAAAGTATATTAAGTCACAGTACAATTTTACAGAAAGTCTAAACCCTGCTACTTGTATACAAGGGACCATGAGAGCTGCAGCAACTTATTTTTAAAAAAGAACGAGTTTTCTGCATTCTTCTGAACTGTTTTAGCTACTGTTATAAAATCAGCAACTAAATCTAGGATAAATATTTAGTAGCTCAGATTTCTGGTGTTAAAATTAGACACATTTACAATTACAAGCAGAGCTGTTGTCTCTACACTGTTCATAAGAACATGAGCAATATACAAGATGAAGCTGTAATTTAAAGTGTCATCTGAGCCTCACACTCTGCTTTAGAGGACTTAGTGTAAAATAGTCAGACTAATCTGATTTAAGAATAATCACCCTAACATGTTCAGATGTTGCAAGTACAAATGTAAGATTCTGCTGTCATAAAAATATCCACCAATTATGCTTCAGACAGCAAGTCACTGCTATTTTGTTATTAAAAATTAACTGATGAGGTTTTAGAAAAACTCATACGAAGAACACTTAGGAAAGACTTCTAATGTGATTTTCATAGGTTTACAGGAATTACGAATCAAGGGCTGTTTTAGTACAACTCATGCCTTCCAGTGCTGTCTCATGAGGTAACAACCATCATTTCTGCTACTGTTTACAAGTAAAATGACCCACCATTTAGCAAAGACTTAAATAAAGGGATGACTGAAAAAAAAAATTAAATATTGCACAAATAATTTAACTGCAGACAGAATGGGACACTTAAAGCATTGATTTTTCTGTCAACATAGGAACTCTATGATATAGTCACATTTTCTATAATACAGTTATTTTTTACAAGACATTTAAATTCAGCATTTACATAAACAGTTATCTTTACAGTCTGTTAACATATAATGTTAAGAGTTCCAGCAGGAATTAATTTTGTCTTTGTCTTAAAAGTTCATCTATCTGAGTCTTGTACATGTTTTTCACATCTTCCAGATCCAGTCGGAGTTCCTCAGCTTCCTCTGCCTTCTCTCCATACATCTGGAGAATTGTGTTGTATCTTTGATCCAAATCCTGCAAGGACAAGTTTGTTATCTGACTGGTTTTCAACATTAAAAAAGTTGCTCCTGGGACAGTGTTTTACACTACTCAGGGAAGTAAGTGTAGCATTGCTTTATCAAAATATAACGACAATGAAGCACACCATAAACTCTTCAGAAATACTTTGTGTTTGAACATGGCTAGATTTATACTCCAGATATTAAAAAGAAGATATTCCAAAGATCCTACAGAGAATTAGTGCTGGCTTCAGAGGCTGTACTAAAGCACCTTTAGAGCTATAAGCACTAAAAACAGTTAGAAAACTACACAGTTTTACTACAGGAATTACCAATTTGTGAAATATTTCAGCAGAAAACTGAACATTCTGTATGTATAGAATAATGATAATTCCCAAATATTTCAATTTAAATTCTTAAACATGAGGATTAAACTATTTGTCCTCTTTCCTGTATTTCTACCGGACACTCATTCAGCTTCTGCATCAACCTCTCAAATCCATGCTATTTATCAAAACACCCCCTCTACTAAAAAGTCCAGTTCCAGCCAAGTGTCTTAAATAACAGAAACAAGAATGTTCCCTCCCTAATTTAGTACAAAATCTTCTGCACAGCACACATTTCCAACAACTGTGTTTTGAGGTCACTACCCAGCTACAGAGTGGGCATTTTCAGATTTTACTCTGTAAAAATCCCAAATCCTCAGTCATTTATTATTAGGGAGAGACTTGAATATAATCCTAAACTGGTAGAGGCATTCCTAATAAAAACTCCAGTTACATAAATTTGACATGGATTTACAACAGAAATACATTTACCTTTAACTGTGTGCGTAATTTTGGTATTTCCTTCACTTTTTCTTCCAGTTCATCATTTTGATTTGTTAATTTAACCAGTTCTTCTGCCATTATTGATCGAGTTTTCTCAAGGTTTCCTATTTCCAGCTGAGGTAAACACATACAACAATAAGGAGAAGGAAAGAATTTACTGTATTTATTAAAAAAAAAATACTTTGATGCAGTAATTAAGGTTTTTTATTATGTCAGACTCTTGAGACAGCACACCTTGGAAGCACTCTCACTTTCTTCTCTAATCTGATCAGTGCTTTGGGGTTTTTCCCTTTTTTGTTTATCTGACAAGTTTTCTGGATAGGTCCTTGCCCAAACAAAGGTGCTCATCCCTACACATACCTCCAGCAGCTACTCTGGTTCACAGAACTGCCATAAAAGTGACCAAGCTTTCTGAATAAAAACCCACAACATAACATCAATTGCATTAGTATTTACACTTGTAAACGCTGCTTGGGTATGTAAGAGTGACCACAGTACCTGTAGATGTGAAATCTCTCCTTCTCTTAGTTTTAGCTGTGACTGAAGGTTTTCAATTATACTTGAACCTGCTCCCATCCTTATGGCATCATAGAGGTTGCTCCCACTAGTAGCTATTGGTCCAAACGAGTGATCATGAGGATCATCCTACAAACAGAAGGTTAGAGAAGCTTAAAATTAAATTAAAACATGCACACTTTGAAATCCTCCTTCTCCTAAGTATTGCATCCTTTGAGATTTACAATTATACTGTGATAGGCAAGCATTTTGATGTTTAAAGTTTGTTTTTAAAACAAAACCTTAAGGTAAATAGGCGCGGTTTGGGATAGCTCCTTACATGTGAACTCATTTTCTACATTAATAAAACTTCTTGAGGAGCAAAATAAGTAGTCTGTCAAAAAAAATAAAAGGCAATATAGGTGATATATCCTACCTGTGAGAGGAAAGAGGTTTGAAGACCTGCCATTTCCACCCCACTTATGGAACTAGAGCGTGACATTGATGGAGTACTTGAAACAGTTTCAACTGTAAATGACTTCCGATCCTTAAACACAAACAACAACAGACAACATCACCAGTTAGACAAAGAAAAAAGTTCACAACATTGCAAAAGACAGATTCTGTAAAAAGACTGCCTTTTTTCACCACTATAGGACACTATAGGACACTATGTGATAGATAAACTTTCTATTTCCTTTATTCCTAAAACATATGAAAGTTCAACAACGAAGAGTATCTGTGCTATAACACTTTTAGTCTCTGACCAAGTTCTCAGACTTTTCTGGAAATGAAGACAGAAGCTGCAAATTACACCAAAAGAGTTCCTCTCAAGTAGCCAAGGGAGATTCAGAGGCAGTTTTGTATGCCCAAACGGAAGAGTATCTCACACCCAGAAGGAAGTCTCTTTTTACAATGAATGTTAATACTTTTTTTTTTCCCAAATAAAGTGTATGAATTAAATTCTGAGATTTCTCACATACTTTACTAATATACCTTCCTAATAGACTGGTCTCTTTTTCCAGGCAGCATCTACAAGAATGCTGGCCTCTGAAGGATAAAGAACTTAGATTTTAGAACTGGAGAAGGTAAGAAACCAATCATACAAACAGTTCTACTTGAATACCAACTGCTAATTAGCAGTAGCAAAGTTAATGACTAGTGAGGACTGCTCTGAGACTTGTGACTTCAGCTGGAAAGCATGTGGTAATTACACACAATCATGTGAAACAAAACAGGAATTGAGTGGAAGCAATGCTAGTAGTCTAAGCAAAGAAAACAAGTAACTTCAGAAGAGAGAGAATACAAGAGCACTCAAAAACCTCAGATGATTAAAACAATAATTATCCATATTTTATCTCTTCTCAAGTAAATAGTCAAAATGTATTTCAGTGAGTCTAACACAACATTTATTTCACTGGGAATAAAAGGCAGTCACAATAAAGAGAGAGCCAAGTCCCCAGTGCCCAAGCTGACAGCATGTGCTGTATATACTGCCAGGTATAGATATCTACTCTAAGTTTCAGGTTATAGATATCTACTAAAATAATGATAATATCAATAAGACTTCAAGATGTTGGGCTTTGGTACCTTCTCCTTTGCTGCTTCCTGCACGAGAATTGCCTTCTTTCTTTCCTGTTCCACTTTCATCCTCTCCATTTCTAACTGAGTAGCCAGCAGTGTCTGCACAAATAAATACAGGCTGTTAACATCCTGCTAGCTCAGACTTCAATGATAACACAGAATAAAGATGCACTAGGCAATACCTTTTCTTTCTTTGCATCTTCCAAGGTTTTTGCATACTCATCTTTGAGCCCTTCTAGTTCAACCTCATACCTACATTGAGGAAGGAAACAGGTAGAGAAAGTCACTAAGTATTTTCTGTTTACTTTCGATTCCTATGTTTTTAAAACAAACATAGCTATAAAACATTATGAATGTAACACCCTCCAATCTTTAGCATGAAACACAATATCCTTAACAAGTTGGACAACATCAACAGCTGCCAACATTTTGCATAGTCATACCAACGCTCCATTTCACTACAATTTTAACGAAATGCTGTTTAACCAAAAATGCAACTCACCTACTGTTTTCATTTTCCATTTTCTTCAATTTGGTTCTCTCCACTTCCAGCTGAGCCTGAAGGCGTGTATTTTCTTGCCTTAAAAGACTATTCTGAGATTCAGAAGAAGACATCTGAATTTTATTAGCAAGAAGTTCTTCTGTAGCAGCCCGTTCTCTCTCAGCAGCTGCTGCTAGAAGAGTTTGAGACTCACCTAATATTAGGAAAAACATGGAATTTAACATTTTTTCATCAAACATCTATAACAGGGGCCATTTATTTATGCATCAAAACTGAATTTGAGGGTTTTTTAAAAATATATCTTGTTTTCTTTTGTAAAGGAAATTAGGTATTTTCCACCACAGTCAGAGGATCAGAGCGACACAGGAGAGAGATTTCATACTCTTTCAGAATGCAATATACAACTACAGACTGTCTCCAGAAAGGAAATAATTTCTCTTAAAAAAGCCCCCACCTATGGGCTTTTTAAGCATTTTTCATTTAAAGCTATAGGTTACTACTGTATCAACAAATATATGTATCATCACCTATGCAGTTAGGTAAATAAACGATTCCAAATTCTACAATTTGGAATCTAAGCACCAGCCTCCATGCTGGGATACTTTCAGTGTCTCAGTGCCCATCCTTCTGTTAGATGCTGTAAGGACATGAAAACCTTAACACCTCCATCTCATCTTATATTGTGTTTTAAAGAGAAACAGTGGATTACCTGGCCAAGAACCTTGGCATAATTCCCCCCTCACCATTTCCTTAAAGGAAAGCATTTTGTGCTCATCTTTTCTGATCCACCAGCTACGCACCAGGGAAGTGTCAAGTCCTTTACCTTCAGGCATCTCACATTTTCATCAAGAGCCTCACAGCTCAGTAAAAGCTAAAAATATCTTACCCAGTCTGTCAGAAAGGTTCTTTTCCAGTTTTTCCCATGCAGAGGTCTGTGCTCCCAGTGTGGCCTGAAGATTTTCTATCTGCCGGAGCAGGGGCCGTGTAGCGGATGTGACACTTTGGCTCAGTTCTTGGTTCCTGTTCTCTGCTTCTTGGAGTCTCTGAAATCACAAATTAAATATAACTAAGCTTTGAAATCATGTGATGGATTCAAAGATTAATAGAGAATTCAGCTAAATGCACAGCAGCTGCTTAACATTCTAAGATTACTGCTTTACAGCTAATGTTTATGGGTTCAAACTCCTAGGTGTCATATTCCAAGAGAGAAGTTTAACATTTTTATTACATAAATCACAGAGCAAGGGTCCAGAAATGTCCAGCCCTCTGGAACATCATTTGAAACATTTTGGCAACAATCTATCTCCTGGACCTGAAAACCATAAAAATATTTTAAGAAGCAGCTAAAGAGTCATTCAAAACACATTTGTCAGCAATTTTAGATGACTACCACAAACTTCATGTCTGTACTTTGTCTTATATTAAAAGGACAGCATTACATTTAAGAGGCATCATAAAAAAATACTATTTTGTCCACCATGTGATTTAAAAAACCATTTCCTTTAATATTTTTATTTTTCCTCTACACAGGACAAATCATGCAGGTAACAAGGAAAACAAATGCTCTCTTTCAGGCTATTAATGCCATGGTAGCATTTTACTTTCAGTTTTTAGAAACCCTCCTTGCAGATACAAGTTGGCATCACCTCTTTGTTATAGTACCTGTTGTAGTTCACCAATTTCCTGGCGTAAATAATCTTCCTTTCTTGCTGCCTGCTGCTCTGCACGTTGAAGTGCCAGCCTCAGGTCTGCCACCTAAGTAAGCAAGTAATTGTTACTAAACTCTTGCTGAAAGTTATAGTATCACCTCTTCAGTGCCACAGTCCTACACCATTTTTAAACACTGTTAGACAGGGTATGTCTGTTTACAAGCAAAGGCTTTGTTTTTGCGTGCAAATAGTTACACTGATTATCACTAAAAAATTCCATACATTTCTTGAATTTTGCACCATGGTAAGGCTATTACAACCTTAACACAGAGCCTGTCAAAGTAATTTCATTTATACAATTATAAGTATTTTTAAATAAAATTAGTATTTTAAAGCTTAGCACAACTACTGCTCAAGACTGAACAAATTCAACTGGAAAGAAATCCACTGGGTATTTGCCAAGTAAACAAAAATGAGTTCCACCTCATACTGCAGCTGGTTCATGATGTCAGGTGCACACTCCACCTCAGCACAGTCATTTGTTCAGTTAAGAAGTTTATTGACTGTATTCAAGACCCACCTGAATTGCCAAAGCTTCTTGTTGCTGCCGAGCCTCCTCCTGGGCCTTTTCCAGAGCTAACCCAAGCTCTTCCTTTGCCTTCATTTCCCTACTTAAGGCTGCTTCCTGAGCCTCGCTGTCCTTTGTAGCATTAGCTTTATGAAGATCTGCAAGTTCCCTGGGGAGAAAAATAAACAAACAAACAAAAAAACCTCAACGCATTTACAGTTTATACAATGCCAACAGTGACTTTGCAAATAACTTTTTTATATATAAACATTTCACAAGCATTGCACAAGAAAGAGGCACAGAATCTGCAGATGTGATTGCTTACTTGTATGCACTGTCAAGTGCTGCCTGGACACTTCTATTCCTTTCTTCAAGGTCTTCCACCTCTGCCTGAAGTTTAGCAAGATCCTTTTCTTGTCGCTCTACAACACTGTTCAGTTGTTTAATGCTGTCTCGATGCTGCTTCTCAAGGTCCTCCTTGCCATCAAGCACCTGTCAGAGTGCAAACAAGACATGAGACAGTCCCCAGGACCTGGGGCAGGTGATGCTGTCTGAGCACAGCAACAACTGTGGCAACCAATTTGGGATGAAGTTACATAAAATGACTAAAGCCATCTGACACTTTGCTAAAAGGGAAAGGTTTTGCTCCCCCACCTTCCTCATAGGAGGGGGCTGCTCTTCACCAGTTTCACATACTTACTGAGTCTGCTGCTTGTAAGATCTTGATTAAATCACAGCCCAAATTTTGCTGGTGCATGTTTTCCAACCAAAATTCAGTGTATTGAATTTGGGTGGCTCACCTGGCAACAGCAGTGCAAGTGCAAACAAGCAGCTGGAAAGACACCTGACTGCAGTTTTAATGAGAATATACACATAAATCACAACTCAGTGTTCCAATAATGTGAAATGGTGAGGCCCTGGCACAGGTTGCCCAGAGAAGTTGTAGCTGGAAGTGTTCAAGGCCAGGTTGGATGAAGCTCTGAGAAACCCGGTCTAGTGGAAGGTGTCCCTGCCCATGGCAGGGGGGTTGGGACAAGATGATCTTTAAGGTGCCTTCCATCCCAAACCATTCTATGATTCTATGAAATAGGGAAGTCTCCCAGAAACAAAAAGAATATTCAGTCTGTCAAGAGCCCCCCTGAAAGGCAACTCTGCAGTTAATATAAAAAGTTGTAAAAAAAAAAAATCAACAAATATCTCACCTGTTTTAAATGCTGCAACTCCTCTTCCAATTCCTTAATCTTTTTGCTCTGTTTTGTGTTAATATTTTCTCTCTCTTTCTCTTTGGCTCTTAATTTCTTAATAATGTTGGAATTGTGCAGCTGCTGTTTGGAAAGCTTTTCTCCTGTGAAGAAAATCAATATAAAGCTAATGCATATTGCTGATATTCTATGGATTCTCTCTATTCACATCTGCCTTGCTCCTCAGTCCCATGAAAATAATAACCAAATAAGTATGGAAATGCTTATTCTTGCATTTTTTCATGAAAGTTCTTAAGTTTTAAATCTACCTTATCCAGGGATGACCTTGTTACACTCAGCTATAGTGAGACAGGATGTGAATTGCTTTGAAAGTGAAGCAAATGAGCTCATCATATCAGGAAAAAAATAAAATGGTCTGTTTAGAAACTATATTTTACTTTCAAAATTAAACAGTATTAAAGGAGACAGTGTAGAAATGCCTTAACAATGCCCTAATTAGATTTCTGCTGAATGGAACACAGTGTGTTGTACTGCACACACTGGTTTTATCTCACAGCCCCTTTAATGCTTCCTGCAGGAAGCACCTCTCCAGCCACCTGCACCTGCCTGACCCCTCCTGTTGCTCTTTGCTGTTCAATGAATGCTTCAAATGTTCAGAAACATGCAAAAAGCTTCCAATTTTGCATTTTTTGCATAAAAAAGACTTGTATGCAAGAGCAGTACATTTCAAACTACTCTCCACTTTTTTACTGTTTAAAAAAAATTTAATTCTCACCTTCCTCCATTAATCCTTTGATTTGCTCTTCTTTTTCTTTCAGTAATTCAGCAGTTTCGTTGGTATTAAGTCTAGTAGCCAGTTCTTCTTTAACAGTCTTTACTTCCTAAATAGTAGGATAAAATACTTAGAACCATTTATTACAATACATTTAGGAAAAAACATGCAGTGAGCTCCACTGATCACCTTTTTATTCTCACCCCTTCCTCTCAAAAAAGGAGGAAATTTTCATGGAAAACAATTTAGGTTGGAAGGGAACTCTGGAGATTATCTGATCAAAACAGATTGCTCAGAGCCTTATTCCATCAAGTTTTAAAAACCTCCAAGGATTGAGAGTCTGTAAATCCTCCGTACAATTTGTTCCAACTCCTCCATCCATTTAATTTGCTATTCTTGAAACTTCTGCAATGTTGCAAAAACAACCTGTCCTATTCATACACAGGTATTGGGTAAATTTTCTATTTCAACTCACTACTGTGTCAACAGAGTGACACCTACAGTGACAAACAACTGTGAAAAATATTTGTATTCCAGTCACAGATTTGAGTTTCCTTTTTTGCATTAAGCTACGAAATGTAATGCTGTGATATCAGGTCAGGAACGTTTAAACCCCATAAACTTTGTTGCTGCAGATTTCTTTGCTCATTCCAAATCAATCTGTCATCAGCCCTTAATTTTCCTACCAGTTAATCCTCTAAAGAAGCTGTTCCCATTCTTCACCACTTCCTCACTTCCTCACATCCTCAGGCCATTCTCCCTCACACCAATGCAAATGCATATATATATGGGTACAAGGCGAATGAGAGCAGACCTTAAACCCTTTTTCTTCCCCAAACCAGACTAACTTAAAAACACCAAGGAAATACCAAGCAGCCTGGATGGCTAAAACCAGCTTATGCTGGTTTCTAACAGCATCAGACAGCACCTGTCAGACTCAGGCTTTTCCCTAGCTCAATTTTTAGCAATTAAACCTCAAGAAATATAACTGTGTCCTAAAATAATAAGTATTAATTTCACTAAAAAGCCAAATTACCTTTTTAGCTGCATCTCTCTCCTTGCAGGCTAGCTGGAGCTTCTTCTCAGCATCTGCAATTCGCTGAGCAAACTCCTCTTTAAGAGATGAAAGGCTACTGCTCTCTTCTTTCATTCGAAACATTTCACTACATTTAAAATTAACAGTTCAGAACAGTTGCATCATTATGTCACATCCCAAAGAGTTTGCAACAGGTTGTCTTAAATGCTTTTAAAAAGTGTTTTGTTTATTTATTTTACACACGTTAAGCAGAGGTCAAAAAAAACCCCACATCCATATTAGAAATACTAATCAAAGATCTTTATTAATTCTGTAATTTACCCATGAAAACAATTAAATAGTTGATTTATCTTAAATGTTTTGCCCCTTAATAAAGTACTTTGTAATTAACCATAGTCTGCACCATATATAGGGCAAATTATTTAATGTGTTTTTTAAGTTTAAGATCAATTTAGTCATTAAACAGTAGCTTCACAGATCATCTTCGAATTTTTAAACTTGGTATTTGATCAGTGAACTGGTAAATACAACTTTCCATTTTTTCCCCTTTTAATTTTAACCAAATTAAATAATGAATTCAGGTTTTTCCTAAAAACAGCCCTTCTACCACACTTTCACTGCCTACATTTTAGTTAGCAAAGTACTTAGTAAACTGGGTTTATACCTCTGTATCAGAAAAGTCAGTCTCCCTTAATAGCTGAATCCAGTGATATTATAAAGATCTTTATTAATAACCAAGCCTGACTCTACATGTTTGTCATTCCTACTGCTTGCTCACTGAAAAATCTTTCACCAGCCTCTTCCCAAAAGAGATTTTGGCCCCAAGAAACAACATTATCTTTAAAAATCCCATCACAGCATATGCAATTGTTATTTCCACCCTTCCCAAGCAGTGCAACCTTTGCTCTAGACATGAAGGTACTTGGTTTATGTATTGTCTAAGACTGTATTACAGCAAAGTCACAGTTACACCCACTACTGTGTGGATTTTCATACTTACTCTTTTAGGTTATCATAAGCTTCTTCCAGGCGTGCCTTTTCTTTACTAGCACTTAATAACTGTATTTCCCTCTTCTCCAGTTTCTCAGTTAATGAATCAATCATCTGGACAATGTTTTTACAGATAAAGATCAGATGAATGGGACAATTAAAACACCAGAGGGGCAGGCTTCCCCTTTCCCCCCCACCATTCCCTCCCAAGACCATTTAAAGCTCAAATTGTCAAAGCTTTTAAGAATTTGAGGTAAAAGTCAGTGAGGATTACCATGTTTCTGCCACATTCTTTTAGAACTAAGCAATATCTAAACACAAAGATAACTGTTTTATACAGCTGTAAGAAATCCTACTAAATCAGCACATGTGGCTCAGTTAAGTTCCTCAACAAAATCATCAACAGATATATTTAATTATAAATGAAGTTTTTAAGCAGAGTTGACAGCCTATAAATCTATAGCTTACATTAAGCATTAAGACTTCCAGGGCTCCTTATACCTTTCTTTACAGAATCACAGAATAACTTAATATGGGAAAGTCTCTTCTGTGAAACATTAGCACAAAGCATCAGAACAGCATCAGACGGGGCAAGAAAACTTTCAAGCAGGGTCAAGAGCTCTTAGATCACATCATCAAAGTAATTTCTTAATACCAGAGTTTTGGAAAGCTGAATATAGAAAAATAACAAACATACAAGCAAATGTACAAATATGAACAAATGGAAGAGATTCTGTATGTGTAGCTCAATATGGCCAATGAAAGACAAAATTTGCTGGGGTCCACTATCACTGTTCCCTACAAAATATAAACAAAGTGGTCATAGAAAATGGGAAAAAATAGTTACTCACTAAATTAGCAGAATGGGACAAAACACACTGCTGCAAACTCCAGTTTAGCCTCCACATGCTTGAGTATTGTCACACTTCTAGTCATTCCATCTATCTAAACTAGCCATGCACATTTCATTGAATCAGTTCATTATCCATATCTTCTTTAAAAAGTCTGCTCTGCCTCCTTTTTAAAAGTAAAGATTATTTTTGCTCAAAACAAACATTAATTTATCTAGTAAAAATGACTTATCTACACTAACTACTGCTATCCTCAGAAAACATGCATCATACTCCTGGAATGTAATCCAATTTTGATAGCTCTCCGTGGAAAAAAAAAATGCTTGCAAAAAATTTTCTTGATTATTGCTTAAATACTAAAGGCTTGTAGTTTTGCAATTCAAATCAAAATATTCCAAGGAATCTCTTCCACCTTTCACAGAAAAAAAATTACACTAAAGAATTAAAATAACACATTTGACTTATCAAGCTCTGACCTACTGAAGTGCTGTTTGCCAGCACTACTCACACTTCACAATTATGTTAAACAGGTGGGTCGGGTGTAACCCAAAACTATCTGACCAGAAATTTCACCAGTATTGTTCTTTTGCAGGACATCAAGCACAGTTTTCTACAGGGTGAGATAATTCATTCAAATAGGGTGAAGCTGATATTGGAGACATAGGACAAGCTAATGTAAGGAGATGTCAGGAGTTTCACTTGAAATCAAAGGGTGTGTTTGCAATACATGTTTCACAGTTACCTTTTTAAACTCTTGCTTTTCAGTGTCCTCTTCTACCACTTGCTCCACAGCATCCTGCTGTGGCTCGGCCTCCTCCTTCACCACCTGTTCTTCGGGAGCTTGCACAGCAGCAACCAGAACATCTGGCTGTTCAGAATTAACAGGGGTTGCACTTCTCCCACTCTCTTCCATCTCAGCTTCCTCAGCGTGTAACACAGGAGCATCACTCAAGATTTCAGGTTTATTTTTCAGGGCATCGACCGTTTCTGTCTTTGGCACAGCAGGACTGACAGCGGCAGACGCTGAGGCGGAAGCCCTGCCCGATAACTCATCATCTGAGTTTATTTCACTCACACTTCTGCTGTCTAAGGACTGGACACTGAATGAGTCAATCCTTTCGAAAGCATCAGAGGAGCCACAGCTCTCTGTCATTTTTTGGAAGTCATCTAAGCGATTATAATCCGCGCAGGCAGAGGTGGATAAAAGCTGGAACGACGTCTGCATGAGGTGAAGGCTGGATTTGGAATCTGCAGCTTCTTGTCTTGAACTCACAGAGCTCTCACTTATCACACTTTCATGGTCCAGCACTTCAATGTCACTGGTTGTGGAAGTGCCCGAGGAGAAAGTGCTAATGGGAGGTGATGGGGTATTGCTTTGTCTGTCCTCAGTCTTTCTCTCCTTTCCTTCCAGACCCATGTCTTTTGTGCCTGCACCAAGAGGCTGTGAAGTGCCTTCCGGTGCACCCACTGCTCCTTCCCCTCCTACACTGGATTTTTCACTAGGAGCATCCTCAGGTTCTTCCAAATTTAGAGCAGATGCCTTTTTGTCAGTAATTTCATCTGTGCTTGCTTCATGCTTGGTGTCAGATTTCAGCCCAGAATTCTCTTCTGATTTCTCCTTGGGAATATCGAGGCTTTTTAAGTCCAGGCCAGCTACGGAGGAATCCTTCACTTCTGCCTCTGTGGTCACCGGCACTTCCAGCTGACTGGGGTGCTGAGACTCCTTCAAAGTGCTTTTCACCTCCTCTTTGGGTCGCTGTGATTTGGCTGGGGGTTTGGACACCACTGGGTTTTTCTGTATACTCTGAACGTCCGTTGGGGAGAGAAAGGCACTGAAGAAGTTTTCGGATTCATCCACTACCGTCCTCCTCACCGGCTTGGTGATTGCTGTGGGCGACACCGGCTGATTCTGGGGTTCTGTAGTCGAACTCAAGCCCCAGGAAGATGTATCCCATCCTCCACTTATGAGGGAATTTGTTCCTGAAACAAGAGATAAAAAAAAAGAGAAATAGGCAAAAAAAAAAAATAAAATGTATTCTTTTTCAATATTTATCTTTTTAGATGCAACAGTTCAAAAAAGAACATATTCAACATCATACAACTTAAAGTGAATATTATACACAAACAGCATCGTTTTTGTTACTACTTCCTTACAAAGCTTGGAACCAATTTTTAAACAAAGCAAAAGAAAATTACTTCATGTCTCCCTTAAGCTTAAGACTTAAGCTGGACACAGACACCTCTGCAAAGCAGGAGTACCTGAACAGAACCAACTTGCTCTCTCCCAGTTAAACAGTAACTTTAAAGCAGAAAGAACCCAAACACAAACTGCACCGGTAAATCCAAGAGTGACAATTCCAGAAAGCAGATGGAGAGAAGTGTCAGGGAAGGGGAAACAAGCCCACAGAGCATTCTGAGAGCTGTAAGGGCAGGGCTGTGCTATTTGGGCACAAAAAGCAAGCACTGCTTTTGCAAAGGGAACCGGCAAAAGCAAATGTGGTGTCCTGCTTCCTACAGCGTGAGGAGGCCAGGCAAAACAACCTGAAAATCTGTAGTGAGGAGAACATACAGATTACAAAAGAGAAAACTATTACTAGGTGTTAAAAGTTATCTGCCAGTAGCACACAAACACTTCACACACCACGGCAGAAAACAGAGGGGAAAAGCTTTAAATATTTACAGAATTTACACCAAGAGAAGGGTTCTTGCCCTTTCAGTTTGTGACAGGCTTCGTATTTTTCCTCACACACCAAGCACCAGCATGGAGCTGACAATACACATCGTCAGCAGCCCAGCTGAGAGCTTTTTTCTCCTCCTGTGGAGAAATACTGAATTGTTTAATTCTGAAGCTGGTCTAAAACAACATCCTATTATTGTACTTCTTGCAGGTTTTCCAGGACTTGTCAACAGCAAGAATAATGAGAATTTCAGCATCAAATTTCAGTGGCATCCCAGGTAAGAAAGATAAATCAAAAAATGATACCCAATTTGATTTTGTACCTGCAAATATAATCTGGTAACGCAATTATTTCAGGCTACTTAAAAACAAGCTCACTTTATACAGCATCACCTATGAAAAACACCAAGTTATAGTATTTAAAACTGTCTTCCACTTTCAGGAACTGTTGATAGCTGTTGGCCTCAAGTCTCAAATTCAGATAACTACTGCTCTCACTGCCCAAAATACTACAAATGTGTGATTTATTACCACAAACATCTGGTTTCTTACTACCTTGTTCATGATTCATTTGCTGCAGAAAAAGCTCTGAGTGAACTGTTAACACTCAGAACGTATTTTGACATCTTTTAAAAACAAGTATGTTTTTCCTGAAACCAGATGCATGCTGATCTTTGCTGCTTTCCTTATGAATTACAGGACTACTATAAATACTCAGATATAAATTAAAATTAAAAAATGTTTAGACAAGTCTAAAATTTTAATAAATTAAGCAAGACACCGTTTTCTACAAACAATTCCAGTGATTTAAGACGACACTTGACTGACTGCCAAGCCCACAAAGGGACAAAGACATGCAAAACTGACCTTTGCTGAGCAACCAGCTTGGAAAACACTTTCAATTGCTACAGCTTTCAGTTTTCAGAAATCTCACCCTGATGCGGGTTCACCTGGAAATAATCTTCTCCTACAAATACATACACATCTTCTACATATAGCTGTAATAAGGACACTGATTTCAGATGATTTAGTTTCCCATCCTTTTGTTTATTTATTCTTATCTGTAAGATATTATTTATGGAACAGAAAAGAAGTTTCTAATGAGAGAGCTCCTTTTTGCTCTTTCATTTCCAAACAGCAACTTAGGACTGACCATTCCTTCAGGTTCCACGTTAGCACACGTAAAAGAGGGACACTCAGGGCCATGACAACTTTTCCACCAACACATTCCTTTCAACAGATATTAGAAGATTATGAACTTGATGCCAGGGAAAGTGGAACCTTCACTTGGTTTATGTGGACCAGCCTTTCAGCTCCTATTCTGCTATCGCAAAGAGCAAATCCATGAATGCCTCTGGAAGGGCACGGTTTCTCCTTTTTTATTACTGAGCACGTTTTATCACTTCTTAGCCCGTCAGCCAAAATAAATAACGCCTTAAGGAACACGGATGTGAAGCTCAGGGCAATAAAGGCAGGACACAGATGACAGCAGCGGGGCACTGAGCTGAGCCTGCCCCAGCTCTGTGCGGGTGTCACCCTGCAGGGGGGCACCAGAGGACCAGGGGGTGGGTTATATAAACCAGAGGGGGCTTGGGACGGAGGGGGCGGGTTAAACCTCCCCAGTTAAGGGGTTAAACGGGAGACAGCGGAGAGGGAGAGCCAGGGAAGGGGGCAGTGAGGGAGGTGAGGGGGCTCGGCCGGCCGCCCTTACCGTCACCGTAGTCGGGGATGACGGCGTCGGGCCAGGGGCTCTCCTCGGCCTGGATGTCCAGCACCCGGTCGATGGACTTCTGCGCCTGCGACAGCGCCTGCTTGGCGAAGCTGGACAGCTGCGAGGCGTTGAACCAGCTCATCCTCGGCGGCTCCGGGGGGACCCCCGCCCACAGCTCAGAGCCCTCCGGCGCTGCCCGGCGGGGCCGCGGGCTCGGCTCGGCGCTGAGGGAAGCGAAGGGAAGGGAAGGGAAGCGAAGGGAGGCCCCGCGCAGGCGCCGCCGGATCCACGTCGCACTCGGGCCCGGGCGCAGCCGCGCTCCGGCCCCGGCACGGCCCGGGAGGAGGAGCCGGAACCGCGCCGGGAACCGCCGGGAAGGGGCGGAGGGTCCTGCCCTGCCGGGGGGCTGTTCGGCCTAGGTTCCTGCCCTCCTGGCTTCCTGCCCGCGCCTCCAGACCCGCCGATAAACACAGCCTCAGTTCCTGCTTCCCAGCGCACCCTTCGGCCGCTCAACGAAAGGCACTCACCGGGATGTGGCAGAATCGTAATCACAGAATGGTTTTGTTGGAAAGGGGCCTTAAAGCCCATCTCATCCCAGCCTCTGCCATGGGCAGGGACACCTTCCACTAGACCAGTTGTTCCAACCTGGCCTTGGACACTTCCAGGGATGGGGCAGCCACAGCTCCTCTGGGCAGCCTGTGCCAGGGCCTCACCACCCTCACAGCCAAAAATTCCTTCCTAATATCTAGCCTGAATTTCCCCTGTTTCAATTTGTACCCATTACTCCTTGTCCCATCACTACTAAGCTGGAAAGCTGACCCACAGTTCATATTTTAACAGATGTAAAATTTAAACACTGTTAACACATAAAATCAGAATTCAGACTGAGGTACCCCGAGCTGCTTAGAGAGATGTCTCTGACCAAAGCAGCCAAGTGATGCCCTAGAATTTTTAACTGAGGCTATAAACACTCTTGAATGTCCACAGATTAGTCACAAACTCAGGTGTCTTTATGATTTTTATTAATAAATATCTTAACAGCACCAATGATATTTGAACATAATCTTGCAATGCTGTGCATGGCGGCTGTCTGGGGACAGTGAGGAGACTATTTTCATGTACAGCTGATCATTTTGTCCTTTTGTGTTTTCTTGTAAACAAAGTCATCTCTCCCATACTTAAAGCCTTTCATAAAATTGATCAAATCAATATCTAATAAGAGGAAAATGTTCATTTTAATTTACTGCCTCTTCTGGTTTAAGGTGACTCAGCAAGTCCAAAGGAGTGCTACAACTAAAAATCAGATCACTGTGGTTCCTTTTAAAAGGTCCTTTCTTTGCATATACGTGTGCAGATGTGTTAAAAACGAGACTTTTAGCCACCTTAAGTTCCATGTGTCTGAAAGTACATTAACATGAACATTTTGACCAAAAAAAAAGGGGAAAAAATGTATTTCTATACATCAGAGATCTGTACATGAATAAGCATTTATACAAATATAATCCACCAAATATTGGCTTCTACGTACAATTCTGAAATATGGTGATTTGTTTGGATTTCCTAACCTTCAACCACGCTAGCACTTACAGGAACATTTCAGGCTGCTTTAACACCCACAGAGTATATTTGTTTTACAAGGTGGGCACAGATTTCTCTTGCTGTATTTGCACTTTACTTATGAATAAATTAAGTGGTAAAGTGAAGCTTGAACAACATAGTCTGTGGTGTTGTAACGTCAGCAACTGCAAGTTCTTGGCCATCCACAAGCCCCAGTTCTGAAACAGAAAGAAAAGTTGAATTAATTTAACTAAACCCATGAGGTTTGCTGCTTTTTTGTTAATTTTAAAAACCCCAAAAAGTTATGAATGCTATTTCCACATACCATAAATACGATGAAATAAAGCTGCAAACAGCTCACTGGCTAAATAAATATTAATCTAATTTAATCAGGAAACTAAGAAACCTTGTCAAGAAATATATATAAAACTCTACTGAAGTATGTTTAATTTACAGCACTTATCTGCTTGCTTCATTGCAATCTGCTCTGCACCTGCCTGCACTTCACCTTTAAACAATTCATATACCTGAGAAAGGTGTATTGCATGTAAAAGGACAATGAACCACATTTTACTGCACAGTGCAAAATAAAACTAAACATCCATACAGAGGGATGGAACTGACTTTCTGTAACCTGAAAATCTACATGTGACAACTCCATGATACCTTTTAGTGTCTTGGAAAGATTTGGCCTTGTTCGTTCTTCAATTGAAGCTACTGTCTGCAAATTAAAAACAAAAAAAAGCCAAAGATTTCCTTTCAAGTTCTGAAAAATAACTTTAAATACATTAAGATTATTAAAGATAATTATTTATGTTCAGATTACCTGTAAATAAAGTGTTTTATTTCCCCCAAACATAGTTGCTGTGATTGCAGGAGATTTCATTTGCCTATACATAAAACATTTTAAAAAAAAAAGAACAAAACAGACAATAAGGTAAAAATACATTTACAAATTATCTTTTTGAAACACTAAACTACCAAAAAAGTTGGCATAGTTGCACACTTACAATGAAGCATTATTTGTCAAGTAATCCAAGATCTCCTGCAATTTAGCTGATGGGGAAATCTCTATCTTTTGGGGAAGTTGGCTGCAGGCTGGACAGTTCTCCTATAACAAAGAATACACGTTATGATAGATACCATTTTAGAAATGCTGCCAATAAGGTCTCAAAAGTGTTTGTGTTGTGGGTTTTTTTAAAGTTTTAGCTCTAGAAATATTAATACTGTTGCAAATACTAATGACAAAACCCAATTCCTCATGAAGTTTGTCACTGTTTGACTGACTCCCAACAGCAGCCAAGTATTTATGAATGACAAATTTCAACTGACAAAAAATCTAACACTACAAACCTTGAAATCAATCGTTGTCAGAACCTCTTTTTGAGAAGATTTGCCTATGAGTCATCTTAAATTTGCATATCATTTTGTATTTCTACTCTGTAGAAGTAACAGACTGGTAACATTGTAGATTCCACTATTTAAACGTCAGAAATATTATTATTCAGTGCTAGGGGCCAAGAGATTCGATATTGGAGTTCAGAAACACACACAAACTGCATAAATAAAAATCATGGAAACAACCCTTCAAGCCTTTAATGGCACTAACCTTCCTTTCAGCTTCAAAGGTGTATGTATATAATCCATCCACATCATTAAACACCAAGTAGTTGTTAAGAGGAACGTATGCACTGCAATGGCAAACAGGTTAGTGTTGATACATGGCATTACGCTGGAAATCACGTCTGTTATTAATAAGAAATTAAATACCTTGTGGCTATTTTGAAAACTTCAGTGGCGCAAACAGCTGAAATGAGAAAAAACGAATCAATGTCTTCACTTTCTAGCTCTATCAGACATTAGTGCACACAGCTGTACCAAAGAAGTGACAAAAAAAAACGAACTTCAACAATATGCAACAAGAAAAAGAAGTATCTGAAGGCAGCTGGTAGTTCTATGCATTAGATTTGGCACTAATCTGACACTATGTTGAGACTATGTACTGTGTTTCCCCATTTTTTTTCCCAGTCTCAAATGCTTTGCTCACTCCCACAGTCAAACACGAGCTTAATGTTTATACAGTCACATCCAGTTTCTCGATGGAAAAAAGAAATGAGACTGTAAGAATAAATCAGACCATTTAAAAATTACTATTATCCTTACCAAGTTCTCAATTACAAATTTGTGTTCTACAAAACTCTCAAGTCAGTCAAGCAGAAGTGAAATGAGCTCTTCCACCATACCTGCAATTACTGCATTTGTAGAAGCTACTGCTGGAATAATTCGTTTAACCACCCCTGTAAAAACAAAACATACAGCTCTGTTATTAAATGACTGTCAGCATTCTGCACTTGCCTGTGAACAGAGGCATGGACAGCAGTGAGGAACAGATGCCAGTCTTAACCAGCCTAAACTGGCATAAATGTTGCCATTGCTAAAATCACATTCTTTTGTTGCTACTCTTTGACCCAGCAGAAGTGGTCATAGTGTAATGTAAACTGTGGAGCTGCTCCAGGTTAAAAATAAAATGGCAAAAAGAATGTTCAGTTTTGTCCCAGATAAGTTCCCCTGATTTATCATAAATGCCTCAACATCTGATTCATCATAAAAATATTTGTGCTGGCACAGGAAATGAGCTGCTTATTTCTGTTTTAAGGCAGAAAAGAACTATTTCTTTCTCAGCAGAGCTGCCAGCTTAGTCGTAACAAATACAAAGAATGCCAATCCAGCCTAAGTGCAAATGTCACAAACCTGGTGAAATGCCATCCCCTTACCTTGGGTGAGTCTGTAGGTAACACCTTTAATATTAAATTGTGATGCTCTTTCTAAAGACTTCTGGTAAATCCACTGTATATGTTCAGGGTCATCTCCATCCAATGCAACACCTTCTACAGTAAAGTTAACAATTTACAGGTAAGTTGCAATTACAAAAGTTCTTCAGAAATACAGCATTCTTATAGTCTAAAAAGAGTCCCTTTGTTTTCACTGGAGTTAAAACAAATACTCCATGAAGCTTTTAAAACTTGACACTTTAAATAACCAAAGTACATTTTTACAAACATCTTTGGTTTTAACACGTCCTATACACAAACTATCTTAACTGCACAGATTTATAGAGCTGCTACAGGTTACATTTTAAGTCAGGTAAGAAATTGTGCAGTGTGAGAAACACATGAGCAAATATGGAACTGGACAGCAAGTTCAAGGAGTGAAAATCCATCTCCAGCTCAGAGGAGGCTTAGATTCAATATGACAATGAGTCACATGAGGTTGAGAGGTAGGATTGTTTTATTAGAAGTAGCTGTATATTCCCAACTCAAGTTAGTTAAAAGGAGAAATGGCAATTTAGCACCAGTGTAATACACTAATTACCTCCAAAAGGTTGCTCCTTTGGCCACTGTAATATCCTGACATACTCAATACAATGCTCTGGCAATCTGGGCATGGATGCAATAGTGCACATGGGAAAATTGACCTGGTTGGGCAGGGGAAGAAAACCATAAGAAACCAGGTAATACACTATATATAGTATTAGGAAAAGAATCCAGCAAATCAGAAGAATATATAAAAAATGGAAATATCACTGGTTGAATTACCTGTGGGGGATAAAGCTCAAGTGTGCACTCAACACATGCTGTCATACCAGGAATGATCACACGAGCGTTTCCTTTGAAACCTTCCGTCCCTCCATCTATTAAAGGTATGATGGAACTTTGATCCAGTGCCTTATCTTCATAATTTAAAAAGGACATCTAATGAATAAAGGTAGGGGGGGTGTTGGTTTTTGTTTGGTTGGATTTTTTAAACAAGTTGCAGGAAGAAAACATATTCTAAAAATTTTATTCTTAAGGCTACACCGTAAGATTGAAGGCCTAACACACAGTTTATTTTAAGGGTGCACAGTATATAAAACACTACTTATTTGTCAGTGCATAAGACTTTTATCTACCACCTCCACCCTCCATCTCCTCCCCTGATAAATGCTGTTATTTCCTTACAGCATATCAGAACAAATGGTTGGTTGGTTTGAAGGATTTGGGGTTTTGATGCTTGGTTTGCTGTTTTGGTTTTTATAAATACAGGTACATACTCCAGATCCTTGTTTTGTAAACAAATTCACAATGATAAAACTACCTAGTTCAATGACCAGCTTTCTGAACTGGTCTGAACTCTGTAACACTGCAGCTCCAAAAGATGGCATTTACAAAAAGCACTGTTTGGGTAATGAAGACAAAGTTCACAATGGGAGCATCCAGAGAAGAACTCTCCTTCATATGACTTTCAAAAGCTGGCTGCACAAGGCCACAAACAATGCAATCTAACTCTGAAATTACCCCTGTAGGGCACTGCACAAATGTTGGCTAACACTCCTCAAGAAAAGGGCAGGTAAGAGAGCGTGCATTTCACCCTGTTCACAGAAAGAAAACAGAAATAGATACAGAAAACTGTGAGCTTCAACAGCCCTCATTCATTTTAATGACATGTTCTACAACAACATGTTTAATTTTAGTTATCTATACCCAAGCAATAATCAGGCCTTAAAGAGATTGAAGAGTTTACCAGCATGCCATTTATCCATCTTCTTGCAATTATAGAGTCCAGCCCACAAACAATAATATGGAACTCTAGAGGGAAAAAAAAACATTTAAATCTATACTAACGCACATTTCTGAAAACAGGCAAATATTCTGTCCATAACAGTCCACAGACAGTGACTGTGGTTTAACTGTCTCCCCTAGATTACCTGTATCACAGATGTATTTAAATTTTATTTGCTACTTTTATTTCCAGTATATTGTAGAAGACTAAAATAATTAGCAATCTAACTCCCAGGAAAAGCAGTGAGCAGCAACAACTGCAAGGTTCCCCTAAAGCACTGGTGGGTGTTTGGCAGGCACACAAATTCCACTTACGTCGATAGAAGCTTTCATCCATGTCCTGGATCTTTTTAAAATACCTGAATGTAAGCCCAGTAAAGGAATATATTTATAGTTAAGTTTACTGTTTCCTATTTGCTAACCTAAGGCCAAAATATTATCTGATTTATTGCTATAGTTTTATACAAGACTTTTTAAAAAAAAACTATGGGATTTGAGATTCAAAATTCCCACAGCTGCAGCTGTAATATCTGACAAAACAAGTAAGAGACACAATGTAATAGTCACAAACAGGAGAAAGTTCAGTTGGCAAAATATTTAGGAAGCTCAAAACATGGGCTCTCACAAAGTCCCCTATCAGCAAGTGCTGCTCTAAGTTTATAAACTAATGTCTCCTACCAGTTAGTACTCAAAACACTCTGGTGAGAAAACCTGTAGTTCCAGTATCTCAGTGAAAATTACAATATTGCATTTGAATAAAAACACTCAGTGGAAAAACACAAAACAGTTTCTTAAAGCTGAGCCTTTCCCATGCATATTCCCTGGATGCTAATGTCGCCGAGAAAGAATTCTCAATCCCCAGCTGAATGAATCCGTTCTCTATTGTACGAAAAAGAGAGGATGGCAGCAAAATACTTTAGATACTCTTACCACCTACAGAGTTTTCTAGGATTTTGAAGCCTTCAGGGCCACTACTTCTCTACAAAAGGATACGGTACAACGGCACAGTTGGGAATGCGGCTGTTCAGGAATTCTGCTGCAACTTCAGCTTTTGGTCGCCCCACATCCTTCGGTCTGGGAAAACCCAAGCAATTCCAAATGCATTATTTTAGCAGATTCAATCTCTCCAGTCTCTATGCATTGCAATACCAAATTAAGTGACTAACTGTTACTTTAGGACAATTTACTGACGTGATAATATTAAAGCATCCAACCCAAAGCATTCTACGATCCCTGTAAAGCATCAGATACGAGATATTCAGAGTTACCTGAATATGTGCATGTAACTACAGTTTTCAGTACCAAAAAAAAATCCAACAATTTTTCATTGTGCTTAGAAGAAATTGCCATAAGAAAATCTGAGATTTCAGTCTGTGTACATTATTTTTTAGTGTGACTTTTTCCATTAGCTCTACTGCAATGGCAAGGAACAAGAATTTTCTTCACACTCAAACTATGACACCACAGATCCCCAAAGAAGTTTAGCAACATTTAGTTTATTCTGAGTACTACTGTGATATGAAGGTTCAGTAATCTTTAACGACATCTTGTCCAACCAAAATAATGATCACAGTCACGTGTTTTGTTTAGGTACATTTAAAAATCCAGAAGCTGAACTGTGAAAACACCACTTACCGAAACAGAAACTGCCGGTTAAGGTTAGAGACATCTATAGTATCCATGTCAATAACATGGATCTGTCTGAAGCCAGACAGTGCCTGTGAAAAGAGAAGAGGAAATAAAAAGCTTACAGAGCCCCGGATTTCATTCCACGTGCCAAAAAAAGCAAGTTTTAGAGGACCAAAGGTATTTGCTCCTCATTCCGTGTGCAGACAGGTACCTGGTCATTCTTTGTTGGGCTGTTAGTGCTGGTACTTACAGATGGAATTACTAACACTTCAACAGTCAAAGACAATGTTCTACTGAAGGCAGTATTGCTTTATCCTACCTAATCCTAACACAGGGAAGCCAAGAAAACTACAGAACACCTCCTGGTATTCTGTACAGCAGGGAAATCCTGTGTTAAGGTTGTGGTTGGACTCAGTGATCTTTTCCAACCTAAATGATTCTATGAGTCTGTGATTTTCACCACTGTATTCCAAACAGTCCTTTCTTGTACCATTATGAGCATGATTTGTTCTTAGTTCACTTTGTTTATGTGGATCAGGTAATTATGGAGAATCACCAACATCAGACTCTCTCTAAGGCTGCACATGAACTTTTGGCTACACTCCATAAACAGCAGCATGTTGTCCCTTAGGACAAACTTTGAGACAGCTGAATAAATAACATGCAACATATTAGACTACCACCTTTCAAGCTTATTAACAACATTCTTCAAGTTTATTGTCTGTATCATCATCTATTTTACACATAATTAGAACTCGGAAATCTAGTAGCTATATATAATAAAATATTATATAAATTCTCTAGTTAAAAAGAGAAGATTCTAAGAAGCAAAGGGTGAAAGCTGTGTAATTACCAGATTTTTCAGGAGTTCACATCCTAATCCTCCTGCTCCAATGACTAGTACTTTACATGTGCTTAACAAAAAATCAAGGGCCTGCAGAAAACATAAAACAAAAGATTAATACAATTTGTCCTTTGTTTCATAACCCTTATAAACACGTCACCATAAATTTTCAGTGACTAGTGAGTTACAGATAAAGCAACTTTGTGTTTCCAGGACTTTAATCAGCAGTTCCTATATCCCAATTTAGAGTAAAGCAAGACCTTTATTGGTATCAGTATTATCTTTATATTAATTTTGACCATGAAAAAAACCAAGCTCCACTTTTATTATTATTTGGCTTAAGGAGGTAATGTTTTCCTCCTTCAAATATTTCACTGATATACATATATATACACATTACTAAATAAATCTAAACAGACAGGTAACATTGCTGGCCAAAAAGAACTGAAATCTTTAACTATATAACTGCTTTCTTTGAACTGTTCCACTACACCCCAGCCTCCAACTAGTAAATAATGGAACAGTACATTAAAAAGATAATAGTAAAATACTTTCAACTGCAAGCTCTAAAACAAAATGTACAAAAAAGAAAAAGCAGAAGAAATAATTAAGACAGCCTAAATTTTGCTTTTGCTTACTAAACATCTTTCTCAGTTCTCCAAGTACCCATATTAACAGTAATTTCTTCAAGTACAATGAATTTCTCACTGTATCAAATTATTTAAAAATGGAAGATAAATGCTGCTATTTTTCATGTAAAACTCAAAGACAGAGCATAATTCATATGTTGTTATATATTTATATATGATAACAGCAAGCTTAAAAAAAGAGCACAGTATGTTCTTCTGGGACCACAATGTTCAATCGATTAAAATACAAGTTCTTCATGCAGTTTTAGTACTCACACATTGCTGGTGGGTCAGTTAATGAACCTGTTTACATTACTTTGCAACACACACTATAGATTTTGTTATTGAAAGTAAGTGTTTCTCACTTGAGTGCCTGGCTCGAAATCGGGATGTCTGAATGGTCCAGATCGCTCGAGGAACTTCTTTACATGGTTCCAGCGACCTCCCCAGTCTCCAGTGTCCCCACACCCACCATCAACAGCCATTCTGCACAGAACACAGTAAATTCAGCTGCAAAATCATAAGGAAAAAGCCACACCTCCAACTCTTCTATATTAAAAAACACCTAAATTATTGACCATTCATACAAATGCATCTGCATGTTCTGCGTGTGTGTTACGCGTGTGAGCATTTGCACGAGTGGGTTTTATTTGTGCAACTAGAAAACAACAATATAAATACGCATAGAGGGGGGAAAAACCTCAAGCATTGCAATAAACCCATTGATTTAACTGCTACTAGTAAAAGTTGACCTGAAGTGAAAAAGGGGTCTAGCCTAATTCCTTTTATTCCCCTCATATTTAAAGAAGACATAGAAAAAGAGCTTGTCCCTTTAGATTTTGAGGGTGGTTTTTTTTCATCTGTAAAGTCTTGTATCCTTTTTTTGACTGATTTTTTAAGTTCATAAATTTAGAATTACCAGTATGTAACACCAATTGTGAGGCACTGAATAAATAACAGTAACGTGCCCCAACATTGTCCTCTGAATCTTCAGAGTAGTTAATTTGAACAAGTGTTAAAAAAGACATAAATCTTGAATGCTCTTCACCCTCAGATGGTACTATGTAATTTAGAACACGCCCATTTTTCTGTCATCCCTGAGCCTGTCAGCAGTAAGTCTCACTTGCAAAAAGGAAAGTTTGTAGTTATCTTCCTTTGAATTTTCAAGGCAGATTTTTACACAAAATACCCCAGTACCCTTTTTCTGCTTTTGCAGGTCACTTTTAGTAGTACATGAGTATAAATTTAAACTGCAGAGACTTATTGGAATAGTTTAAAATCAGCTCTCAAGTAATTTTCTAGTGCAAGACCATCAGCTACTCCCCTTTTTAAACAGAAGCTCCACTCAATACATATGATTGTGTTCTACACTGATACAAAACTAAACTTATTATAGAAGAGCTTTCCCAATCCTGAGTATAAAAGGTTGTGCCACCATTGATAAGGAGTGTTATTTGCTTCCTTCTGTGAAGCCCTATGAAAAGCACTTGGCTAACAACTGTTGGGTAACATTTAGAATTTATTACAACTTCCTGGTGACTCGAAAATGTAGTGAAAACATCTAGAGTGAATTCCTTTATCTTCACAGCATTCAGAACATGGACAACACAGCATGTCCACAGTAACTTCAAGTTACAGACAACTGATTTTACAAAAGATTTTCAGTAACAGGGAAAAAGTCTAAACTGCAGGAATAAATAAATCATAATTCACCTGTTTTGGGCAGCTGTCCCTGGCCAGAGGCTGGAATGAGATGATCTTTAAGGTCCCTTCCAACCCAAACTATGCTAGGATTCTATGATATTTTGACTGCAGACTGAACTCCTTCCTGATTAACTGTCGAGATAAGTTAGTTCCTCTATGAGCGGTTAAATAAAAGCTATAAAAATTATTTGAATTCATAAGGGGACTTTGACCTGTTCTGCACTTTTGTACCTTCTCCAGTTTTCACAATAATGTGAAAATACACATATTTCTCACAATGGGAAATGGTGTAAAAAACACAACACTCCCCCTACAGAACCCCTCACCTGTTGTACACCAGGTTTCAGGACATGCACTAAGCACTGACTTAAGCAAATAAAAAAGGTCAGTAGGCATCACAAAAACTGTTTTTGTGGATATTATAATTTTTAGCTTTTCTGTAAATGAGTGTAGAAGCTGTGTTTGGTGGTACTGAGAACAACTTTTTCTCATCCTTTTATATAGCCCCTATAAACAGCCATTAAGCAGCACCATTCCTTGTGTGTTTAAACATCTCTATCCCTTTATAAGTAAGGCAAAATAGTAAGATCTAGTTTCACTTTTGCAATTGTACTACAGTTTGGTTTTTGCAGGGTTGGACATTGTGGAGATCTGAAAAACATCAATAATTCAACCTGAGATTTTATATTTCAGAGACTTTTTTAAAAGTGTTTATTTTCTGTGCTGTTACAGCATTACCAAGTATCACGAGAGTTTAACAAAATTCTTAATTATTTCACCGAGTTGCTTTCATTTTAAATTTCGTTTAAGATCTCAGAGCACCACAGTCCTTATATTGCTTTAAGCTCAGACTTTTCCCTGCCACTTTCTCCGAAGCTCCATGCTTTTGAGGGACTTGGCATGCACCCCTCCCATCCAACATGCCCAGAGATTTTCGTGACCCTCATCCCGACACACACATGCACTGCCTGCGAGCCCGGTGCTCGGGCAGGCCGGCTTTGTGATCCCTGGGAAGAGAGGCACAGGCAGATGGAAGGGAGCAGCTAAGGGACGGAAGCAGATGATGCTGAAGATTTCCCAGCATTAGTTTTTAAGGCAGGTGCATAGAATTTAGAGCTTTTAACAAGCAGAGGCCAACTGTTCCGCGGCCTGAATTTTTTTAAATTTTTCAGCCAAAAAATTTAGCCACCTGCTTCTAGCCTGGAGGCCCTCCCCGCTCCCTGGCCGGCAAGGCAGCTCCCCCCGTGTCGTCCCCAAGCTCCTGAGCACACCATGCCAAGCTGCGAGCCCGCAACTCCCGGGCGAGCCCCTCGGCCAGGCTCCTCTCCCTCAGCCCCTGCCGTCCGAGCCCTGCCCCGCCTCTGACATCCTTCCTGGGGCTCCCTCCTCCCTGCCCGCGCCTCCCCCGTCCCTCATCCCCCGCGGGGCTGCGGCTCTCCCTGCCTTGCCCTGCCCTGCCCCCGCCCCGCCAAGCGCTGCCCCTGCCCCCGCTGGCCCGCAGCCCCGCACTAACCCATCCGCCAGCAGCTCCTCTAGCCTCCTTCTTTTCTTCTCCCTAAAAGAGAGAGAATAAAAGAAGGGTCAGTATCGCGCTACAGAGACCGGGGAGGAGGGAGGGGGTTCCCCGGGCGCGGGGCGGAGGCGGCCGAGCACACACATACAGGGCACTTACGATTCCTCACGATCCGCCATAGCTCCCTCTGCTTCCCACAGTGCCCCGCGCGGGGCGGGGCCGGGCCCGAGGGGTTGTTTCCCGCGCGGGGGGGGCCGATAATCGCGATAAGCGCCCTGGTGAGGCGGGGGGGGAGCCTTGCGGAACCCCTGATGCATGAGACAGAGGCTCTCGCCTTCCCTGGCGAGCTGAGGGGTCTCCCTGGGCCCACCTCCCTGATGATCACAGAGCCATGGAATGGTTCGGGTTGGAAGGGACCTCAGAGATCATCCTGTTCCAACCTGCCATGGGCAGGGACACCTTCCACTAGACCAGGTTGCTCCAAGCCCTGTCCAACCTGGCCTTGAACGCTTCCCGGGATGGGGCAGCCGCAGCTTCTGTGGGCAACATGTGCCAGGGCCTCACCACCCTCACAATAAAGAGTTTTTTCCTAATATCTAATCTAAACCTGCCCTCTCTCAGTTTGAAGCCAATCCATCTTATTCTGTCACTCCATGTTCTTGTAAAAAGTCCCTTTCTTGTAGGTTCCCATCAGGTACTGGAAGGCAGCAACTGGGTCACCCGTAAGCCTTCTCTTTTCCAGGCTCAACAGTCCCAGTTCTCTCAGCCTTTCCTCACAGCAGAGATGCTCCATCCCTCTGCTCATCTTGGTGGCCTCCTCTGAACTCAGAGTTACCCAGGAGGGCATTCTCAGGGCACGTTAGAGCCTATAGGATGACTAGGGACCAAACGTGGGTGTGGGAGCAGCCTGGAGCTGGTCACTGCCCACCACAATGGCTTTTGCCTTGTCAGCACTCCCTGGACAGAGGCTGGACAGGCTGTGCCCATGGCTCTCCTGGGATCAAATATAAACCAGAACTGAGCACAGGACGGGAAGCAGATGAGCAGGACTCACGAGGGTTGCTCTCAAGCCTTGGACTCCCAAACTTTAGAAGCAGCTGCCAGCCTCCTGGCTTACCATTCTGCATTTTGAGAAGGACTTTGATGCCTGCAGCAAACCCGGTGTGTTGTGTGGTACACACATGGTGGGTGAAGTGTGAAAGCCTGAAACCACAAGTGCTCCAACACGGACTGCTGGGATTGAACCACCACAGCTGCTGCCACCAACCTTTCCCTCCAAAGGCACAATCATCCTGTTGCCGATTTTAGGAGCTCTCTAAACACAGACACAGAGTCTAGTTTAGGAAGGAGACGTTATTTTGCGCAGGGCGCAAGGTGTAGGTTTCCACAAATCAAGCATCCCAAGGGGGTTACATGTTTTATAAGTAAAATTTACATAAACCCGCCTGTCTAATACATATTCCCCGCCCACCTAATGCATATTTATTTGGGTGATCTAATCTTACGCAATGCTTGAAAACACAACGTTCTTTTCTTCATTTAACAACTTGTATTGTTGAAGTTATCTGACATCAATTACGTTTAAAAAAGGCGAGAAAACTCAGCCTGAGGACAGAAAATTCACCTTGAAGACAGCACCCCCACTAGCAGAGCCAATCTGCAATGGGACACCCCCCAGAGCCCCCGTGGCTGGGGCTGACACTCCCCCTGTCTCACAGATGATGGGGAGCGGGTTCGGCACGTGAATATTAAGCGTGCATCACCATTTGCTGAGGGAACAATGAATTCGCAGCGGTTATTGACAGCAGCCCGTGTCAGCTGCCATCCCTGGGCGTGTGGCGGGCGGTGACACAGACCGTCGCTTGTGCTGCTGCTGCCGCTCGTTCGCTCGCGGTCTCAGCAGCGAGGAGCGGGGCCGGGGCCGGTGCTAGTGCGCGTTTCGGTGTCGGTGTGTCCGTCGGTGCCGGTGTCCGTCTGTCGGTGCGGGTGCGGCGGTGCCGGAGCCGCCCCGGGGCGGTGCCCGCCTCTCCCGAGCCTGCGCGGCGGTGGCGGCGGCCATGGAGGTGCAGGTGGCCCCGCTGCGGGCCTGGGACGATTTCTTCCCCGGCTCGGACCGCTTCGCCCTGCCCGACCTCAAGGACATCTCGAAATGGAACAACCGCGTGGTCAGCAACCTGCTCTACTACCAGACCAACTACCTGATGGTGGCCGCCGCGCTCATCTCCATCGTGGGGTCAGTGCGCGGCCTCGCAGCGCGGCCGGGCCGGGGGCGGCGGGATGGGGGGCCCTGGTCCCCGGGCCGGGAGCGCTGACACCCGGCCCGGTGCCACGGGAAGGGGCCCGGCCCGGCCCTAGGCGGGATGTCGGGCTGCGGGGCCGGGGGAGCTGCTCCCCCCCCCTTTCTTTTCTCCCCTATTCTCTTTTCCCACCATTCTCCTAACCCCCATTCTCCTTCCCCACCCCCGCCTTTCCCCCTTCCTCCACTCCCCTTTCTCCCCCCCTCCCCTTTCCCCCCACTTCCGCTTTCCCTCTCATTCCCTCCCCCTTTTTCTCCCCTTTACCCTCCCTATTTCCCCCCTTTCCCCTCCTGCCTTCCCTTAAGGCTCTGGTATCTCTTAAAAATGCAGGAGGGGCTTGAGAGGAGTCGGGTTTATGACAGTTTATTGGTGCGGTCTCACTGATGTTACTGTTACCTCCCTGTTTCACGGGCTGCTCCTCAAGCCCTTTGCCCGAGGGAGAGGCAGCGGGCACCCAGCCTGGCAGAAGGTACCGATGATTTTTATGTGCAATGTGCAGGATGTCGCTGCTCGCAGAAAACGGAGCTGCATCCTGTGCAGCGACTTGTGCTTCCTCCTGAACCTGTCCAGTGGGGCTGTGCAAGCTCAGACATGCTCTGCTGTGAATTTAAAAAAAAAATAGATAGATAAATTCTGCCTTCTTCAAGACAGGAGCATCTGCTGGTATGATATTGTCTGAGGCCCAACTTTCCTGAAGAGAATTAGGGAATAACCTTATAATCATCTTCTGAATCAAAGCCTATGTGATTCTTGAGGTATTGCTTCGGCATCTTTGGTCCGAAAGCTCTTAAGGAAGACATGCAGCAGAAGCTGATGATTAAGCTTTTAATATGGAAACTGGAATAGTCCACTCTTCTCAGCAAAGACTGTGCAAATGCTTAAATTGGAGGATTGCCCAGCCACTAGGCCAGAGTGGTTTTGGCTGAAGTACATCTTATCTTTTATGTTGCAGAGTCTTAAAATTATTCCTCTAAATCCATTTTTTTTGGTGTAAGCATTCTGCATCCTGTTAGGGCTTCTGAAGCTATTGACCCAGCATCTCAAGTTGGTGAAGATTCTATGGCTCACAGGGAGCTTTGGCCTGTGCTCTGTGGAAGGATAGGCTCAGAATCCTGCTTTTTCTTCTGGTTGCATATGATGGTTAAGGGTTTGGCATAGTGGCATAGGCTTTCTGCTTTTTAATTTGTTGGGGATATGCTGCAGTGAGCTTTACAGACTACAAGTCTGGTAAAATGACACTTCCATGACCTTGCCTTTCTTATACCACCTTGCTCTAAACTTCTGTGTTCATTTATGCCTGTTTAGCAGCATGATGCTGTAGCCACCTCCCAATGAATCACAGGTGAATCACAGTGTCCCTGGAAGGCAGAGGGATAAACTCCTCTGCCCAAGAAGGTTGGGAAAAAATGTAAACAATTTCAATATTCCTGGTCAGAAAACAAGGATGGCAGAAGCTTTTACTCACTCTCCTAAATTCCTGCTTTTGAACTCTGATTTCAGATCAAGGGAGATTCATCTCCCACTTGTTTCCCACTAATGTGCTGAGGTGGGAGGTGGAAGAGGAAGAGAGCCACAGGAGATGCAAACTAATATGAGAACTGCAATTCCAATACCTTAATATTGAGTGATAACCCTCTAAGTTGAAAACTTACAGATGAACAATGCCTGGAATGGAATCTTGATCTCAAATATTTTTTATAGCATGTCTTAGAGCCTTTGTGTATGATGAACCTGATCCTTCTAACACTGAAGTAAAATCAAATGGTAGAAGAACTCTAAAGGAAATGGGATAATACCTCAATAGAGAAAAAGTGTCCATTTCTTTGAATAAAAATATTTTTCATTTGGCCAGACTGTAGCTTTGGGAGAAAGGTAAAGAAAGTTCTCCTGATAAATTTAAATAGATGTTGCACTTAACTCTGTACTGGGCAGGAACCTCCGAGTGATAAATGATGAATCATGGCTTTTTAGGAACTCCAGGGCTGTATACAGGCCTAAGGGCAGGATTATTGAAACCACTAATGTAGTGGTCTTCCCGTGATCAAAACTAAACTTAGCCCATAACCAACTCTACCTGTTCTTAAACCATCTAACTGTATAGACAGACTTGTAATGTGAAGATAAGATTTTCAGCTATTGCAATACTTGGCAAGTGTGGTTGTGTTGGGCTGACTCAGAAATTGTAGCCTAGGGCTTTCTTGATACTGGAAGTACAGTGCTCATTGCCACAGCTTTAGTTTACTGCCTCTCCTACAGCAAAGGTGACCTCTCCAGCCTTTTACCCTCTCTTCAAGGTGTGGAAGAACCTTACCATGAACGTAGTGGAATTGCAATGATCTCTACTGCATCATGTCCCTGCCTTTCTCCTTCCATGTGTCTTCTCCCAAAACTACTGTTACATGTAAATGAAGTTCTGGGCTTTGCAGTAATGTAGATTTTACTTTCAGCCTGCAGGACTGGGTAGAAAATAATAAATCAGTGAACAAAAAGCTAAAACTGCTAAATTAGTGCCACTCCACAAATACAGGCTGGTGGTAGCAGCCTTGTCTCTTCCATGCTCCCTCCCTGCAAATTCCTTTAAGAATGGCTCTGGACTTGGGTGCTTTTCTTTTCCCCCCCTCTACAACTCAGTTGCAGTAGATCACTGATAAAAAAAAAGATCTTTACAAAATCAAGATCTTTACAAAATTGTGCCCTTTCACCCAGTTATAGAGGAACTGGACTCCCCATTCTTACCCTGAGCCAGGGCCCTGTCACTGTGAGTCCTATTGGGATTTTTATTAAAATTGGTGCCTTCAGTGCCTCCCACAACAGCTTGTAACTCCCCTCAAACAGTCAATTTGGTTAATAAGTGGAATTTGTCTCTTCTTCCACCTACTCCAACAAGGCCTCTCTGTCATGTAGT